GTAGGGTGGACACGCCGCTGACAGTCTACACGTTTGACGTGACCAACCCCAAGCCGGGGTTTGCGACGCCAAAGTACCAAGCTCAAAATTGTCGCTGAACTCAAGCTAGAGTGTAGGTTTGAGCTCGACAAGCGGGGCAAAGAAGTGCAGGTGCCCGTGGACTTTGAGAACGACGCCGAGTACAAGGAGATCCGCGAGGGTCTGGACCCGGCCTTTCTCGAAGCGGCGTCCAACGGCGTCGAACTCTACCTCCATGGCGACTGGCGCGGGGCCAAAATGGCTTTCAACCAAGCCCTCGAGCTGCGGCCGGGCGACGGCCCCGTGTCGCACGTCATGAGCTACATGAAGAGCTTCGACTACAACGCTCCACACGACTGGGAAGGAGTCCGTGACCTCGACGGCTACTGAGCGGCGGATGTACATACTTCGAGACAACTCTGCTAACACTTGAGAATACATGTTACAACGTCTTATCGCTACGGAGGCGTAGGGCGAGGCTCTTGATGGACAGCGGCACGTTCAAGATCGTGTCGTCGTCGTCGTTCTCGAGCAGCAGCATCAGCTGCTTCTTCGTGAGCCGCAGCCACCCATGGTCGGGCACAGCCGGGTTCCGACACAGCATCGCGCGGTGGGCCGACTGCATCTCAGGCGCGGACACCAAGTGTGTCCAGTCGTCGAGGACAGGGGCGCCGGCGGGGGCAGGGGCCGTCGAAAATAAAGTCTCGAACGGTTCGTTCCACGAGTCCTTGGCCTCGTCCAGGGCCCCGAGGACGTCGCCCGGCTCAAAATCGTCGGCTGCGAACGCGCCCAAGCCCACGCCCGCAATCAAGCTTTCACGCACTACGATCGTCGGAGCGCCATGCTTGCGACGCTGATCGGCGTCGTCCAGCGTCAAGAGCCGTCGCTTGCCTGCCCGCTTGGTCGTGGCGGACGTTCGCATGGGCGCCGAGGCTTCTGACTCCGAGGCATCCGAGTTAGCAAGTACCGTTGGTTGCGCTTTCCTCTTGGGCGCTCGCTGAGTTGGTTTGCGATCCTCTGGCTTGACCTTGGCACGACGCGCAGCATCGTCAGCGGCAAGTCGCACTCTACTGGCGCTAGGCACAGAGACAACATCGCCGGGCACGAGATCGGTCACTGCAAAGAGGCCTAGCCCAACGCCTGCGATCAGCGACTCGCGGACCTCGACGGGCGGCGCCGCGACCACGCTGGCGGCGAGCGACTTGGGCTCCTCGACCGGCTGCGTTAAGGCGGGTAGCGCCACGACTTCGCCTGCGCCCACGCTCTCTTGCACGAAGAGGCCGACGCCGACGCCGAGGATGAGCGACTCCTTGTACACGAGCCGCGGGCGGTCGGCCCGGTCGCGCTGTGGCATTGCGTGGAGAAAATGGACCAATGGCATCGCGCTATTTTTCTGATTTCCAACCAATAAATGCCCGCGTTGCTGGGATTTTAGCAAATCACAATCGCGGGCTTGGGGAGCCCCCACAACCACTTCAACTTGACGCGATCACGGGCCTCATCCGCAAGGGTCCCTGGGTAAGCCTACCCACGACAACAAGATCGAGGGTTTAGAGAACGCACTAGTAAATGGTTATAAAGCTACGGCGCTACCTTGTACAAGTGCTTTCTGCAGTACAATCGCTTGACCAGTACGCGAAATCTACTTGCGAATCTCGTCTTGGACGCGCTCCATCCACGCAGCAACGTCGTTGCCACCGGCGTGGTCGGGCGTCGATCGCAGTCCGTCGACGACGCCGAAAAAGTCGCCGGCCTCTTTGTTCTGGCTGAGCTTGAATTGACTCTCCACCGACTCGATCGAGAGGCGCAGCCCGACAATGCTCCGCAGCAGCTTGTCCACGTACGCGGTTGGCGCCTCGTCCACGCGCCACGGCGCCTCCATCTTCGCCTCGTGTGTGTCCGAGAGCGCGCTCACGTTGCGCAGGACCCAGTCGCGATCGCGCTCAATACGCAGCGATGCGTGAACGTGCACCGCAATGTAGTTCCACGTGGGCACGGCCTTGCCCGTGGCCTGCTTGGTCTCGTACCACGACGGCGAGACGTACGCGTTCGGGCCCTGGAAGATGGCGAGCGCGCGCACGCTGCCCTCGAGGCGCGCGATGGCGTTGACCTTGGGGACATGCCCATGGAGCTCGTTCCCTACGTGAAGCAGCGGGATGTGGCTCACGAGCGGACTCTCGCCGGCGGCCTGCGGTACGACGAGCGTCGCCAAGGGATAGCGAGAGAGGATCTCGTGCACGCGGTCCGTGCCCACCTCGCGGAAGGCCGACGGCGTGTACATGGATCGTCGGGCGGAAGCCAGCATCTTGTCGAATGCTCGCCACCGCAATTAGTATCCAAATCGATGGATTTCACGTGAATAGTGTCCTAATGACTTGCACAATAGTGTATGAAGAGAAATAGAGTGTGCAATATCAACCTGAAATAGTGAAATCGTGTTCTTTTGAGATGCCCAGCGAAGCCTGCGGAATAGTCTCGCCAACGATGGCGTCACCGCGCTGGCCATTGCACTTGGGGGTAGGAGGGTATGTTTTCTTTGCTGACGCACCTTGTATTCGGCTCGATGAAGAGCTGGGAGCGGGGACTGGCTAAACTAAAAAATCTTCAACTCAAACTCAAGAGCCATTTTCCTGGTAGGAACGTTTACGTGGTGTACCAGCATCCCAGGGGATTAATTCGTATTTTCTGGCCAACCCATTGGCTATAATTCAAGCCATTTTGGCAAATGCAACGCAGTTGCATTGGTCTAAGCCAATCGCATCGCGCGAAACCTGTCCCGTAAAGTGCGATTTGATAGTCCCTGTTAAGTGCTGTCACATCCCCGGACGTTATAGTTGATTAAAGTAAAACAATTGCGCTGAAGTGCGCCTGCGTACTTAACCGAAATTCACGCAACTTTCCAGTTAGGTGCGATTGCAGAAGCGCGCGAAGACCGCAGCAAGCGTCGTCGCAATACCGTTAATCAACGCTTCGCATTCAATACAAAAGTTCCTACCAGCTCACCCCGGAAGGGACCTGTTTTCGAAACCGGTACAACCGGATATTTGAATATAGAATCGTTGGCGCCTTTCCCAATTTAGATTGCTTTTTGAATGCTGGGGCACGAAACTGCTCCCTCAACTGCGGATCTGGCGATGCGCAAGATCTCCCCCGACAACCAACCCGACAGGATCGCACGCGCGCCCACTCGCAACACCAACTCGCTCACAAAGGCACTGCCGACGATGGCCATGTCCGGTACCGTCGTCAACCTCACGCCCAAGGGCACGACGCACCGGCTGTTGCCCAACCAAAGCAAGTCCAAGGTGCACCCGGAAGGCACGATCGCGCCCATCACCGCCTTTCAGCGCCGCGGCATGGCGCTCCTCGAAAACAAGTCGTACGCCGCTTTGATGAGTTTCATCACGCTCTACTGCCTCTTTGCCGATGACTTTCGAGCTGCCTTCTTCAGCAAGAGCGCCGACATGGGCTTCTACGTCGTTGCGTTCCTCTGTCTTCTCCTCTTCCTCGTCGAGTTTGGCCTCTCGTGCCGCTGCAAACACGACTACCTCCTCTCGTTCTACTTTTACCTCGACGTTCTCGCAACCTTTTCGCTTCTGCCCGACATTGGGTTCATTTGGAACCCGCTGACCGACGCCGAGACGGTCTCGAGCGTCTCGCAAGCAGGCGCCAAGGCCGGGCGCATCGTCCGCGTCGTCCGCGTCATCCGACTCGTCCGCATCGTCAAGCTCATCAAGTGGAAGCACAGCACGGAAGAGTCGGACCTCGTCATCGTCGAGAGCAAGACCGGCGGACGCATGGCGGAAATGACCACCCGCCGCGTTGTCATGATCGTGCTCTTCCTCTGCTTTGTGCTCCCGGCTTTTGACGGCGGCTACAACGAGCCCTTCAACCTCTTTGAGTCGCGTGGCTTTGACTTGATCCACCAAATGTCGACAACGCCGGCCGATGTCTCGACTCAGCCCATCTTTCTCAACACCTTTGGGGTACTCTGTGTTACTACGGTTGTTCTATTCATAAATGTGTAGAGCTGGTTTTACTACACGACCGACGACGTCGTGTACCTCACGCTCCACAACATCACTGGCGACAAGCTCGGCCGGCTCTTTACCTCGTTTTCGTTTCCAAAGACGGAGGTCTCGACGGCGCAGATGGCCAAAATTCTGCCGACACAAGCCGCCGTCCTCGACATGTACCGCGTCAACGAGCTCCGGTCGATCACATCCACGGGCTGCTTTGCAGCGTGGAACGGCTCGGACATCGTCGCCGACCCCGTGCTCTCGTCCTTGGCGTGTCAGTCGGTCGTTTGGTTTGACATTGCCACAGTGGCCAAAGCCACGGCCATCTCGAGCATCTACCGCACAGTGTTTATCCTCGGCGTCCTCGTCATTGCGTCGCTCTCGTTCGTCCACGTCGCCCGCATCATCGTCCTCAACCCCATCGAGCGCATGGTAGAACTGACGAAACATACATATACTCCACGCCTAAATGCTAGATGGCGACGATCAAGCAGCTCGCCGAGTCGCCGCTCGGCCAGCACCTCAGCATCGGTAGCGAGCAGCAGCGGTTTGCCAAGGAACAAGGCTTTGAGACGGCCGTGCTGGAAGCCACCTTGGACAAGATCTCGGGCTTGATGCAAGTCGGGTT